CTAGCAACTGCTACTAAGATTCGCAACAAGAGACGCATGTTGCGAAGTCGCAGGCTAACGTTTAAGCAAAACTTCCAAAAGCCGCTGGTACAAAGTACAGGGTGTACGTTACATTGTAGAGCTCCTGTTTTATTCAGTAATGCACACTCATGAAGTGAGAAAATGACACTTTTGGGCGCTAATGCTTGTTTTGGCTCCAAATCCGGGTACAATGCTGGAGCATTGCTAGTTCTCTAAATGATGCTCGTAATGCCAGTTACAATGCTAGCATTACCCGCCGAGGCCTAGTCAGTGATGACAAGTACATTAGAGTATTACTTGAACTTCATTATAGATCAATATAATACAATAGACAAGTTCCTCTTTTCTTGTACAAGTGGTGCGGAAAGAATTTTAAAGCAGAGGAATGCCTTTGGTGTTATACAGATCTAGAGGTCAGCAAAGTAGGAAATAGACCTGCGAGGTGTGTGACTCCATACACTTGCTGTAGCACAGGTGGTCATTATGCAAAATCATGAGACAGAAAAGGTTACAGTCACCTTAGAATGAAATTGCTTCGCAGTATAATCTACCGGATGAGACGACGAGCATCTCGTCTGGGAATCATCCTCCACTCGCTGGTGTGGGCTAACATTCACTTTTGTGCTGCCGCCTAGCGACACCCGGGTTCTCTTTGCCCCTGAGGCAACCACATCCTTTTTTGCGGACGTCCGTTTCATAGACCTTACATGGGGGATTTCAGCTTCCTCCGCTATGTCCAGGCTTTGCCACTCTTCGCCAGACTGGCCTTCCGTGTCCACTGGTGTATCATCTTCGTCGTCAAGAATATCAACAATTATAAGATCTTCTTCGGCGGAATCGAAGTCGGCTGATCTGTCACGTACATCACCGAATTCCGCCATTGCCGCACACAGAGCATATCAGGGTCGCAGGTCAAGACACTAAATTACCAGCCCACAATTCAACATCCAGGCAATGGTAATGAACTAAAGTACAACAAAAAGTAAAACATTAATATCCCTTTACGGTAGAACATCGATTATCCCGCGATCCGGCCTTTCCATTTCTGAAGGCACCAGCCCAAATTTGGGCTAAAATGGCATGTAACGATTCACAAGGTGTTGCAAAACTCCTCTATAGAGCTTATGCATACCCGTCACGTGGTCACGAACAACGACCAAAAATGTCCAAGTACAGTGAGTCTGAGCTGAGGCGAATCTTCGAACGTCCAGGGAGCCATACACGAGACCGTCCTGATTACCAATGACTCCCAAATAGGCACCAAAACTGCAAAAGGTCCGTTACGGATACCGAAGCTGAGTGGCATGACGTCACGTCGACGTTCATAAGCTCTGCGTACTGAGAACTACAGTGCTCCGTTCTGCTCGTCTAGTGCTCGGTTCTGCTCGTCCACCGCTCTGCTCGTTTAGTGCTCGGTTCTCAGCTCGTCTACATTTGTAGTGCTCGGTTCTGCTCGTTTCATGCTCCGTTCTGCTCGTCTGGTGCTCCGTCTGCTCGTCTGGTGCTCCGTTCTGCCCGCCAATTGCCTCATTCTGCTCCGATTTGGAAACCCCTGATTCTGCTCGAAATTCTGCCGGCATTATCCGCCGGGGCCTAATGGTGATGGCTTTGGAGTTTGGTGTCCTACTTCTGCACTGAGTTCTGGTGTTGTTCGGTCGCCGTTTGGTATTCAGTTTTCATATTGTTCTTCTTTGCCAATGAACTGTACGTTCTGGAGATCCGGCAAACAATACTGCATCGTTATGAGTGGATTGTTGGTGAGGGAATCCGTCTCCCAACTCATTGGCCCCGATCGCGGACGATCTCCAACTCTCTCCTTCTCTCTCCAAGCAATACGCCCACCAGAGTATGCAACATTAGGACTGCAACCAGGGAGTAGTAGAGTACTCTGCCACACCCTCACTGCAACTGCCGGCATCCACGCAGTCGCTGGGTCGATGATGGATCATGGAGGAGGCAACGACACCCTGCTATACAACTATAATAAATTTTGATATTGATGTAAACTAAACTAATTTTCAAATACACCCGTACTGGGCCGCAGTGAATGTGCCCCAAATCCACGAGTGTACTTGACAGGAGACATTCAGCAGGCTGTCAGCGATCCACGATAGCTCTACTTGTACAAGCAAAGGTCGCTTAAACTCGGACAAGAACATCTAAAATTTCATAGGACATGCTACATTTGCATTCCCTCCTCCAAAGCGGAGCGTTGAGCTATAAATTATAATTGAGGAGCACAGTAGTTTACCATGTATGTGTGGCCGCTGCATCGTGTGTTCCGCCAAAGCGGCTGCCGTAGTTACGATTTTCATGTGTGACCGCTGCATCGTGTGTTCCGCCAAAGCGGCTGCGGTAGTTACGATTTTCATGTGTGACCGCTGCATCGTGTGTTCCGCCAAAGCGGCTGCGGTAGTTACGATTTTCATGTGTGACCGCTGCATCGTGTGTTCCGCCAAAGCGGCTGCCGTAGTTACGATTTTCATGTGTGACCGCTGTATCGTGTGTTCCGCCAAAGCGGCTGCCGTAGTTACGATTTTCATGTGTGACCGCTGCATCGTGTGTTCCGCCAAAGCGGCTGCCGTAGTTACGCATTTCATGTGTGACCGCTGCATCGTGTGTTCCGCCAAAGCGGCTGCGGTAGTTACGCATTTCATGTGTGACCGCTGCATCGTGTGTTCCGCCAAAGCGGCTGCGGTAGTTACGATTTTCATGTGTGACCGCTGCATCGTGTGTTCCGCCAAAGCGGCTGCCGTAGTTACGATTTTCATGTGTGACCGCGGCCTACACACGGTACAAAACCGCATACAACTTAAAAGCATCATGGTCTTTGAAGTGGGCATGGAAACATGCGCGAAAAGTGAAATATCACATCAACGTTCGAAGCCATCCCGGAGCGACTTTGAAGGCGGCTTTGAAAGCGGATTTCGGCTTTTAGTTTTCACGCAAGACGAACCGAGTGGTTTGGTGTGTCGAATGCGCAGAGTTTTTGTTAGTTTTTGGAGAATCCGGTACCATCCCTCGAGTGGTCTTTTCTGCCAAGGTGAAGCTATGGCTGATAGAACTATGGGGAAAATACCAGCGAGAAAATGGAACTATGATTAAAAGAGCTGTTGCCGAGAAGAGGATTGCAGATGAGCTGAATCTGTGCGCAAAGCAGCTATCCGGAGGTGATCAGGAAACAGGAAATGATATACACGGCCGCTAGGGTTCACAACTCCAGCACACTCAGAGGAATACACAAGTTGTGAAGGCGTTCCACCGAGATCATACTAGCGGACCAAGAAATAGGATTTTTGAAATATTGAGCCAAGTGCCGCACGGAACAAGTGCGCTCAGCTCATGCAGAAATCAAAATTCCCGCTCTTCGCCATGGGTCACGCGGGTCACTTTTTACGCGTTTGGCATGCACTGCATTTGACTGTGTGAATGCACAGGCGTTGCAAGTGGTTTGTACAGTCATGTAAACGCGAATTTTTGTACCGGGTGTGAATGCAGACTTAAAAGTGGTGCAAACTTTTCATGTGTGACCGCGGCCTTAGTGGAGGCCCAACTGTGGAAAGGAGTAGCCTCAGTCAGCATGATCAAAACGCGACGCAGCTCACCAGATCAAGGTGTGGGTCCTCTTCCGGTGCCGAAAGGCAGGCTCACGCCCCTAAATGGCTACTTCCCATTGTCTAACCCCCAATACAATTATGTAGCCGACTGGCCGAAATTAAAAAAAGAAAGCGAGCGGCTCAGGATGAATGACTGCAATGTACTGTCGCGGACATGGAAATCCAGTCGATTGACCAGGGCCGGAGCCCTCAGCGCGTATAGAACGTCGTCGTTGCATGCAGCGCACATGTTATTGCTGAAACGATGCGACCAGCAGCAGCGCGTAATAAAGCATGCCATGGCTGCATGGCCAGCGCCCTGGGGCCGCTAGACGTACGTGCGACCTGATTACCGTATTATCTCTAATATAAGCACAGTCTCCAATAATGGCACGTCTCCAATAATAGAACACTTTGGGGCGGCATTCAAAAAATAAAGTGCTCAGTCTCCATTATAAGCACACTGTGTAAATTCATTATCTGTACCGGCGAAAAAAACTCTGAAATGTGTGTGTCATACATGAATTTGGCATGGCAATATGCCTCTGAAATGAGGTTGAAATAATAATGGAACAGTCTCCAATAAAGGAACGTCTCCATTAATAGCACGGGTCGGAGGTAGAATGAAATTGAAGACACCACTGCAGCTGTACTTATGGTCGATAAATATGGGTTGATTAATATGGGTCGGAGGTACATTGAAAAAATAAAGGACCGTGCTTATATTAGAAATAATACGGTACCATGTCCACGACAGTACATGCATGATGATGATGTGTTGTGTAGAGTGCTGCTGTGGATGCCAGCCTTTTTACACCTTTGCCTTTGGCATGGGCTGTAGCTACCATGGAGTAGTAAAATTCATACGTATTTTACTGCTCCATGGTAGCTACTGCCTGTAAAAAAAGGATCTCATTTCCTCTGCCCTGCCTTGCTTCTACTAGTATCTAGCCCGGCTCTGTACCACGTGACGTGTAAGTGGGTGAACAGACAGGCCTATTGTAGGGTCTACAGGCGACATCGCTCACTAGCACTGTTGCATGTGATGACACTTGATCAGCTAGTCCGCCTCTGCTCTGGCGACACAGACAGTCGGCTTCATTTCGGAGTTGGTGTGAGAGCGTCAGCAGAAAGATCGGCCCGCAATGATTATGTAGACCTACATACCGGTATGGATGTACACGAGTAGCACTGTACTTTTGTAGTGTGGAGCAGGCAGTAGAATCTGATGTCATGTTGTACAGTCATGTACATAATCTACGCGTAAATCTACAACTTTTGCCAGATCAGACAGATGAATGAAGCCACAGAGCTCTGGCCGCTGGAGCGGCTTGGAGCGTGCAGCGAACGTGTAGAGAGGATCTTGGACTGCTGCACCGTCCGCGCTTCAGTTGAATGCGGAATCTTTTTTTTCTTGCTCGTTGCCGTCTGTGGGTGTTCTGGGCGGATGCGTGTTCTGCTTGCGGCCCTTCATATTGTTATTTTCTGGGAGTTCGAGTGACGCTCTGTCGCAATCTGGTTGCGGAAGTGAAGCGCCTTCGTTCGTTACCTGCCCATCGGCAGGTGGCGTTTAGATTTGTGGGACTACCAATCGTCCGAGTCAACGTTACCAGAATAGCAGACGCCGGACAGGAACCACCCGGCCGTTATCGGGAGCAGGTGCTTCTCCCTGGCTTGAAGTCAGGTAAGCATCTTCCATTCAGTGTCCCCAACATTTCACTGAGGGCCTGCGCTGAGTTCTAGCAGTACAGCAGCCCTAACCCGTAACGATTTATTAGAAAGGTTTCTGCTGATGTACAGTACTCCTTGTCGTGTGCTCACATTTGTCCGCTTGGTGTTGTATTGTTCGTAGTGAAGCGCAGCAACGGCAATTCAAACGCGAAGGTATTTCGGCTGCTGCAATATCCACTCACTCTCAATCCGTGTGTTTTACAAGCAGAGAAAATTAGTCGATGAATAATTTTGTCAAATTCCAAAGAAAGGACTCCTTCCAATCGGAAACGGTGACCATTGACCAGAAAAACAAAATAATCAATACATGTACAGTCGACTGTCACTTATCCGACCACTTCGGAAATCAGGCATGTTGGATAACTGAATATTAAGGATAACTGATATCATTTTTTATGTACATAATATGGCTGGATTTCACTGATTTATGTACACAATACCCAAATATATTCATGCATATTCCATGTACACATACATGTTAGCATATTTGACCACATCTGCTTCAAGTAAATGCATATTACACCGTATAATATACAAAAAAACTAAAAAAAAGTTTCTTTTTATTTATTGTTTAGAATTTTACTGTTGAGAGTCATAAAATGACCACTCCCGGGCTTGTCGGATAACCGACGTGCTCGGATAACTGGCGACCAAATGAGTGACATTCGACTGTACATGGTTATGGCTCATGAGTAGGGGTGCGCGGATTATTCCCGGAATAATTTGGGAATACTATTGTCGAGAAAATGTTGGGAATTTTAGGGGAATTCTATCGATCTTTTGCCAGATCCATTGACCTTCAGAAGAGTTTTGGGGGAATTCTGTCAATTTTGAACTGCGAGAGAACAAGCGCGCATCCATGGACGCACGTGCATGTACATGCAGCAATCCCCGGACACGACATACTGTAAAAGCCATATATATAACGAAGTGCTAACTCTAACGAGTTAACGAGGAGAAATCTGTCGTCAAAATAGAAATCGTTATACAGAAATTGATACATGTACTGTCCTAATGAGCGTTGAGAATGAATGAAAATCGTTACCTTTGGTATAAGTAAACTAGTCAATTTTGGGAAATCGTTATATATGCGCCTCGTTAGAATAATGGCTTTTACAGTAGTAGCTGTGTACAGTCAGATGTAGATCTAGTACATGTAGTGTAGATCCTGCATGCAGTGATCACGTGCCTGATCGTCTATTTTGCATACTAAAGAGCATGCGCAAGGCACGGTTCGTGCTGGGGTTCTTTTTTTGGGGGGGAATTCTGGAGAATTTTTTCGATGTTTTGGGAGAATACTTTCGAAGTTCCGCGGGAAATGCCCGAAAGCGTATCGGTTGCGTGCGAGCATAATCCGCGCACCCCTACTCATGAGTGCACAATTAGTTTTATTCATTACCATTTTACGACTATTGTCTCCTCGTATGTTATTGAAATACTTTGATCGATCTCTTCGTCATTTTAGGGGAAAATCCCTATTCGAGTGCTCTTTGACCAACTGAGCACATGATAATGACGTAGTTGGCTGACGCCTCGAAAAGACATTTCTGTGATAGATGAGAGTGGAATGGCATTGATGGTGGAGTTTACTCGCATATTGGGCTTGGGGTGGACTTTGCTGTAATCCCGCGCCTGATTTGTGACAGCTAGTTAATACATTGACCTACCGAGCCAATGAGGTAAAATATATTCCATACAATACGATACAACACAATAATACAATAATGTCCTTGCCTTGATAGTGTTCTTGTGCTTAACTGTTGCTGACGGCCGAATGAATGGTTACCTGTGGAGCCCATTACATAACTTTATAGTCTCCTATGTTACGCATCCTTTCCGACGGCAAAAGAGGCTACGGATTTAGTTATTCTTCACGTTGTCAGCAAATGACTACTGGTCTTTAGCAACTTGGGTCTCCTGTAGTACGCATCCTGTCTATGCTTTCATAGTGCTGACATAAAGCTCGGGATAGCACTCTGCTGATGTTCAGAAACTTGGCCTGACTATCACTAACAATAACACTGTTGTAATGTTCATCGTTCCCAAGCGGTCGCTGGTTTCTCTCACAATTTCATCGTACTGTTGTAGGACATGCGTTATAATAGACCAATCCTTTTGTCTGGGTTCGTGAAAAGGGCCACGCGTGCAAGTCAGCTCGCGTGAAGTGCATGGTATTGTATTTAGTTGGTATGTGGCAGCTTATTGGACAGAGAGACGTTTGCTCCCAGAGCTTGTGAATATAAATAGTGTTTTACATCGACCATGACGGCTCGAATTGAATTGGAGAACGGCTGCTCCGATTCAAACTCTAAAACCAGAAACATATTAAGGGCTACAATTCCCAACCATACCATAACGAACTGATCGGCTACATCATTGTATTGCAAAAAGTTCCCATCTGTTCGAATAACATTCATGATGAGCTAGGCAAAAAAGCATAGCGCAGGGCCCTGAGCGAAAGAAATAAACTTTCTCTTTGCATTCGAGGGTAATAAAAAAAAAAAAAATACCATGGGCGTAGGAAGCAGTTTAATATTGGTGCGGCTAAATTGTGAGAGGGGGGTGGGGGGTCCTCCCCGGGATTTTTTTTGAAAATTGGGCCTAGAAGGCCATATTTTAATGCTACAGAATAATATGAGAATAATAATCGACGTGGAGACAACAATTTTATAATAGCAATAAAAAGAACAAATTCTGCAGTCATCGCCACACTACAACGAAGTCATGAAAGTTTACCAGAATTAATTTTCTTGTCACATTCATCAGTGGAAAGTCGTGACTGAAGAGTAACCATGCTGAACAATGATTAAATATACATTCAATGATGTGTTACGAGAACAAAATGTAGTGTGGCGATGACTGCAGAATTTGTTCTTTTTATTGCTATTATAAAATAATATGAGCCGCGCCAAGCTAAAAAGTGGCTTAGCGTTTTGCCAACAAATCAAGAAAATCACCAAAACGTCACAGTCGGCAAAATTCAACTCGAGCGCAGTCGCGAAAATATTCACTTTCGAGCATCCTTTCAAGTAAATAGTTTGCAAGTGGAGAAGAAGGAAGAGGCCTTTTATTTTTGGGCAACACTTCTTCAGTGTTCCCTCTCTCATCGTTGTGGGGGATTTCTCGGCGCTGCCAGAGATCGTAACGGAGCGTTCTGGAGAATGTGGAGGCGAGCAGGATGACACTCCGTCTCCGTGTGCGCCCAACCCTAGTTGACGAGGAAAACTCGCTCATTCATAGTGGCTGTTGTTCTCATCGTGACCATGACTAGTCTAGAGCGGTTGGTATACGTATGTGGAGACGTCTACAAGCCGTCCGGCCATCACTCTGGCAAGTTCCCTAGTGAGTTGGATCTTGCTGCGATGTTTCACTTTGTTTCGGGTACCTTCAAATGTTCATCACATGGGGCACTGTCCTCCAAAATTTCCTCATTTCAAGGCAATAGTGCGACACGCCGAAGCGATGCATTGACTCTACCTGCTAGCATATCGTCCCGTGGTGCTTCTACCACTACCTACACCAGGGAAGGAGAATGACATGGACCGGGACGGACAAAGAATCAGTGCCGCCCTTTAGCGATGTGCAGTCTGTTGGACCTACGTGCAAGGGACCAATGGAGCTCGATCTCTGGCACAACACTACGAGCTACAGGGAAGGATAAATTCGTGTTGGCGTAGGTGATTGGAGAGAGGATGACGGACTGTCTTGGTAAGATGCGACGTTTCCCAGCCCAGCAAAAAAATATAGTCCAAGACTCATAAAATCATTGAAGAATATGAAAATTCGTGTTGCGTGATGAAATGACATGAGATGCATAGATCAATTATTTTCGCTTCTTTCTTGGATCTTCTGATCAGAACACAAGTGCTCTGTCTTCTTGTATTGCTTCCACACCTGCTAAGCTTTGTCTCCACTTGGTGTCCCATGATTTCTGGAGTAGGTCTTCATAATTATTATCTTAGTTCCATTGATACCAGGCATGCGGTGACATGTGCGCAATGTATGCTTATTTATGGCACATATACATTTCAGATGGGCACCAAAATTTCCTTGATGGAAGTTGGATAGGTAGACATCACTTTGGCATGAAAAAAGAAATTTCCAAAAATTATGGCTAAGCCACCTTTTTGCTTGGCTCGGCTCATATGAGAAATAAGAATAATGCATGCTGATGATACACCGCATTGTCGATGTAAAATATGGTACCTGTAGAAGAGTCGACAAGCCATCAACAAGGTTGAAATGTAAAAAAAAATCGAAAATGATTGGTACGGGCCTGCCGGACCGGTTCCTTTGCCCATGAATACGACACCGTCTACCACCTTGATGACCTAGGCAAAAAAGCATAGGGATGTTAAAAAAATTCATTTCTCCTATTTCTTCTTTAAAGACATAACCTCGGATTCGAAACTGCACTATCGCCCTGTATGCATTCCCCTTATACACTTCGCATACATACTCATTCTTCTAAGTTGCTTCACGTTATGATCTTGCATTTGAAAGCCCTGTTTGAATGTTGTGGCCAGCTGTCTTTGATGTTACGGTACGGGACAGGTACGGGATAGCGCCAATACAAACAAACAAACACACACCTTGATGGTACGGTACGGGACAGGTACGGGATAGCACCAGGCATGCCGATGGCACAAACAAACAAATACACACGGAGTTAGAGCTGTGGGGACCCTGGCCAGCGCCATACGTTACTCAAGTAACGTCTTTTGCATAGCTACGGGAATAAAAGGGGTTTTGCTGAAAGAGTGGGTATGCATGCAAAAGCTGCGCACTTCTTCTTGTCGGTTGTACATGCAAATTCTGACACTCAATTGCATACGGGTATTGTGTGTGTTTTACGTACGCTCTCGCTTGATTTTGTTATAAAAGGCCAGGTTTGCTCCTTGTACATTGTTCTGATGATGGGTGACTGGCCCGAAACGTCAATTATTTTTAGAC